TAATAGAGAATCATTGGAAGCTTATTCTTGGTACAAAAATGGTTTATGACCTGAGAGTGTCACTGACAGAAAAAGTATAAAATTCTTGTCTGACTATAACTTTGTAATGGAGATACATTGAAAACATATACTTGGTACAAAGATTATTTATGGACCTGAGGGTGTGTTGTAACCTTGACCCAATCCCAGAGAGGTCTAGAATTTTCTAATGAAGAAGCATTGGATGTCAATATTTCACTGAAAGATTACTTATTACCAGATGATGTGTCTTTTTTTAACATAGGTATTTTTGGAGCTCAAGATCACATCTACAAAATTTGAATGGGCACTTTAAAAAAATATAGGGGGGTGGGGGGTCATTTTGTGAGCTTGCTCACAGTTCCTCAAGTTTGACATATATTATTGATTAAAAAAAAAACAATTTATGTAATAGGGCAATTAAATCTAATTATCTAAGTTCAAGCTATTTCAATTTTCTTGAGGAGGCAACTTTTTATTACAATTATAAAATTTTGTTTCTGATGTATCACATGGTCTTTAAAATACCAAATTATAGATTTTTTTTACACAATGTCTTTAGTTTGTCTTCTTACATTAATCAGTTATATAAGATTGACCAGGTATACAAGGTATTGTATTTTAGCAGATGAATAAATATATTCATTTTAAGGATGTACAACACACCCACCCCCAAAAAATTCCTGTTGTTTAATTTTTGTTATTTTTGTATATTTTATACATGACTATACCTACTATGTGTATGCACATTTTGGGCAAAATCATTCAAGTTGTATTTGGACAGGAAGTTCTAAAAGTTACCCCCTTTAGCTGTTCAAGAGAAGAAATTTTCAATCAACCAACTATAAGATCCTTGATTTTCAAAAAAGTCGGGATAGCATGGCTGTTAAACTTCAACTAATTTGTTTGACCATGTAACACACATATGAAGTAATTTTGTAGAAGTATATATCGACACAATTTTTTTTTAAAGACCTTAAACTGAAAAACTATTGTTCATCTTAGCCTTGAAAAATGGGTATTTTTGAATTTTTTTTATGAAAAAAACCTATCGTTTAATTTTGAAAAAAAAAATACTTTCTTTATGTAGCGAATTGCAAAAATAATCTTCTTAATTTTTTGTAATTCTTTAAATGACCCGTTTTGAATTTATAGCGGAAAATCACCCCTCTCCGCCTTTCTCCCTAAATCAGTTTTCTCAAGCGTGGTCTTTCAGACTTGGGACGATAAAATGCTGTGGATCTACAAATACACAAAAAAGGCTGGAAAACATCTTTTGTTTTAGAAATGATATTTACATTTTATTTTATCAGAGTTTTCAAATGTAAAGTGCATTTAAATGTAGATTTATAGGCAATATTTTGCTATGACCCCCTTTTCCCCCTTACTTTTTTTGTGGCACAGACTATTTGAGCTTGAAGCATCGCATACATTGCAGATATATTTAGTCCACTGAATTCCTGAAGTACTAATTTGTTTATTCATGTATGCATATTAAATATTGACTACTAAAATGTTTTGATTTAAGTAAAACTTACTTCTAATAGGATTTTATGCCCATGTGTCTGATAACCGTATACATGTAGTCCATACATATGCATTCATATTGCATACCTGAATATGAAATTCAACTGACATTGAATTAACTTTCATTTAATGAATTATTTTTGTTAAAAGTGAACTCACAATGACGTATGTTCAATTGTCCTGTGATATAAATGGAATATTTATAGTTTCTTAATATTTTCAAACCAAGGATCCGGAGTGTGTGGGGATACACCCCCCCCCCCCCCCTCCCCCGCGATATTGTATGCATACTTCATTTGCTTCTATAGAATAGAAAATGGAAATATCGTTTTCCATATTAATTTCAATGTATCAAACCTTAAATTCTTCATTTATTTTAAAATGATTCATGTGTACAGTGATATAAAATGTTTTGTTTGATTGGAGGAAATGCGAACTGACACTATTCACAGTGACAGAAGGTCAGACAGTTTGCTGCAATGAGATATTCATGAATTCAAATAATTTCTGTAAACAATTCCTCTTCACTTTTGATACTTACTTTGTATATATTATAGTATTCAGTTCTCGAGTTCATCAGGCTGGTCTGACTGTAAATGTATCTGTGTATTCCGTGAAGAAACATAATTGTTCGGAAAACAGGAGGAATAACTCAACTAAAGGAAGGGAAAACAAACATATCCCACATTTTTAGAGTTGTTCCTCTTTGACCAGTGAGATTCTAAGAATGGAATCGATAATTACATTGTAAATCTTTTTTCCTTATTTATTTGTTTGTTTTTTATATATATAAAAGAAGAACAAAACAATATTTATTTGGTGAATGCATAGTTATACAATAGACCTGTAATCGGAATGTTTTGTAGCCAATTGTAATGGGGAAAAAAACAATGTAACATAAAAATTTTCAGATGAAAATTGCTGTGCTTTGATCACGGATATGATTTACATAATATGAAATTAAAGAAATTTAAGGGGTAATCTTTTGTTTCTTCCTTTTCATAGAGGGGAGGGGTTTAATTACAAAAATAATCAATGATAGAATTTGGTACTCATAAAGATATAACAATCAAGCCCCTAATTTCATTTTTCTGTTTCTACTTTTAATACATCGGGATCGTATTGCTCGTCATTCTGACGCTTTATTATTAACGTCAAATTTGACGACACATTAAACGTTTAAGTGAAATCGCAAGAGTTATCTCCCCCGCTGTGTTGTACGTCTTTAAATGGAGGCTGGTAATGCTAGAGTTAGGTACACAGGTATTTTAGATACCGGTAATGTTGCATGATGAACGTAGCATTGAAACAGATGACTAGAATTAAATTCTAAATAAAGGGGACATTAAATCTCATTCCTCTTTCAGTCTGTCACAAAAACTTTAACCTTGGTCATAACTTTTGAATAGAGAAGATAGAGCTTTCATATTTTGCATGTATTGACCTTGACATTCAAGTTTGACTTACTTTTCAAAAATTTCAACATAGTTTATAACCTTTGAATGAGAGAAGATAGGGCTTTTATGTTTGACAGTTGCATTATCCCTTACAAGACATTTTCTTTACATGCTATGATTTTTTACCCTGTGACCTTGACCTTGAAGTTTGATCTACTTCTCAAAAGTTTTAACATTGGTGATAACCTTTGAAAGAGAGAAGATAATAAAAGCTCTCATATTTGACATGCATTTTCTGTGACATGACGTTTCCGCAAATGATTTTTAACCCCATGACCTAGGCCTTGAAGTTTGACTTAATTTTCAACAAAATAAACATTGGTGATAACTTTTTAATGAGAGAAGATTAGGGCTTTCATATTTGAAATCTGCATTACCTGTGACAAGACTTTGTGCTTTGACTTTTGACACCATGACCATGAAGTTTGACTAATTTGCAAACTTTTGACATGTGCATTGCCTGTGACAAGATGTTTTGGAACATGATGTGGATTTTAATCCCATTACCTTGACCTTGAAGTTTGACTTAATCTTCAAAAAATTTAATATTTTCAAATTTACTCTTTACATTTTTCGACCTCTTGACCTTAACCTAAAAGTTTAACCATGCATTCATGTGATTAAGGGTCATGTTACACATTAAAAAAAACATAACCAGTTAGGTAGGTTTTTAAGCGTAGCAATGTTAATAGTCTCATACTTGTAGGAGTAAGGTTAATTTAGAAGTCTTGACACATTCCTCATCAAAAACCATATATAAAAAGGTCATTTTTTCTGTGAAAGCATTCTATAATTGAGGATAAGAGTTGTTAGTTCAATGTATTAAAACTATTTGTAAATCCAGATATTGGAATACATTATTGATCAAATCCATATTCTGTACTGCTAATTCAATTTATAACTGTGGGTTATAAATGTCACCAAGTTCATAGAAATGTATCCATTAAACAAAAAATGTGCACAAATTTATGACTGTCTCCACACGAATCCTGTTCTATTGCATGATTGAGGGGAGTCCCGGGAGACTGCCAGTGTCTAACCGGGCTTTTTCAGGTCGGCCCACTAACGCAATCTTGGTGACAGCAAATGACACAGGAGGCTAATTTCTGATGTACAGAGGCCTAAGTAACACCAGCTTCCCTTACATGTGGAGGTGATACCTCCTATAACTGTAAATGAGATGAAATTGATTAGGTTCAGCCTTGATGACAGATCTCCAGTCCCTTGTGACCACTTCATAGTGTGCAGTTCTGGTTGAAAATTATGAGAGCTATAAATTTGGCACAGTACTTGTCAGAATTTTCTCACATGCTGCGGCAAGACTAGATGCAGGCTTCAAGCTTGTCTCATTAATGCAGGACATTTTTTCCTCAAGTTAATTTGATTTTCGGTTTATATCATATCACCAAAAAATACAGAGTAGTTAAAATATTGATTCCAAATCATTTTCCTTTGAACCAGTCAGGGTATTCAATTTCCTTGTGTCAATCTGGAGTTGTTATTTTGCGGGCTGGTATTGGATCTTTTTTTCATTATTAAATGAAGATGCACTCTATTTTTTTTCTGGAGTGTTTAGTGCAGATTCGAACTAGGTTGATATATCAAGGGAAAAATTGATGATTCATGAATTAATGTCACCTCTTCTTAATTCTTCAGAGTAAAAAAAGGTGTCATAAAACAATTTTGTATTTCACAAAGAATTCATAAAATGAAAAGTAAAAATGTTGAACCATTTTCTTCCCAGAAAAAGTTGAAAACATGCAAACTTGTCAATAATGAACATCAAATCATCTTACACTAGGACAACATTCTCAGTATTGTTTCTTTTTAAGCCCAAACACATTAAAATAACTTATCCTATTTTGATTCTATCTGTTTGTTACATAAGATAAGAAACATGAAGTCTTAAATACAAATTGGACAAAACAATTAAAATAGGATTAAATATTTCCAGCCTTGAGGTATGTGTTTTGAAATATTGGCTTTTGTGGTTTGCAGACTTGGTAATAATGTTAAAGAATTCCAATGGCAGCCAGAGAAGGTTCATCTCTATGACGAAGCCCCAGAAACCTTACCAGATGTAGGCGGGGTGGCCTGTGGTGGCAGACACTCTATGGTGTGGTTGTCCAATGGGAACGTGTTCAGCTTTGGCAACAATTTCCATGCTCAACTAGGTTATGATTATAGAGCAATGAATTATAAAGAAAATCAGGTAAGCAGGTTTTATGGTACAGTTCATAGATAAACAAATAATCCAAAATAGAGTTTATAGTTTCAAATATTCAGTTTAGGAAATTAAATGTTGCACATTCTGTCAATGTTTATTAGTTTGCATGCATTCAAAAAATTGAAAAAAAAAAAGGATATGTACATTACTTTTAAGTGAATACCAAATTCCATTTCTTAGTGCTTATTTCTTTGGAAGTGGTCTGAATAAAAGCAATTGTGTGTTTTACCAGGAATTTCATTTGCCTCCAATAAATGGTGTGCAGGAAAATCTCCATATTAGCAGAAAGTCACCCAAACTCTGCCAGAAAATTACGGTGATGAGTGATTGATTGAAAACACCCTGTCCAGAATATGATAAACTTCAATAGCACACAATAATTAAACTTCTTTATTTTAAAATAAATATGTTTGAGTAGTGATAAAGTTCAGACAACTCATGAATCTTAATTCTTAGATTTGTTGTGTGCTTTTGAAATGGCAATAATAAAATCATTAGAAAAAATACTTGCAAGGTGCATAAATGTTAATGTGCATGCTGCATATATTTATTCTATCAAAGTTGCAAAGTCCTCACAACCCTGACCAAATATTTCCCATATTACACACCAATATTTGTGTGCACAGAATCACCATTTGTACCTGAACAAAACTTTCAAAGTTGCTGTAATACTAACACAAGCTCAAATTGTGTATTTTCTATTACTTCTTTTGTATTTGAAATACACTTTTATCCATATATCTTTATTCTCGATGGTAAAAGTCAAAGATGATTTTTTTGAGTAACAGTCAGTAAAAGATTTTAATGCCCCCGGATCGAAAGATCCCGGGGGGTATATTGTTTTTGTCCTGTCTGTCTGTTTGTCTGTCTGTCTGTTGTCAACTTTAACCTAGCCCATAACTATTGCACTGTCAAGGGTAAGGCTTTAATATTTGACATGAGTGTTCATTATGACAAGACCTTTCCATTGGTATGGAAATTTTTGATCTTGTGACCTCAACTGTGACCTTTGACCTACATTTGAAAAACTTTAACATTGGCCATAACTATTGCACTGTAGTCTACGTCCCACTCCAGAATTGTGTTGCCATCGGGGGCATAGTGTTTCACAAACACAGCTTGTTTTTGTGTGTGTTTTTTAATTTCTTCAAAGAAAAGTAAAACGTAACCAAAAAAAAGAAAGAAGTTTTTCATTTGCCACATACTTTTAATGTCAGAGTTATCTATACCAATTTTTCACAGTTTATTGGCAATAGCTTTTACCAACAGCTATATAACTTATTCATTAAATTTATTATACATGCTGATAAAAAAAATTATCAATTAACTGTAGAGTTGTACACTGGAATCACTGAGAATGTCCATCTGTCCAACTGTCTGTAGGTCTGTAGCTTACAGTGCAGACTTTACTATTTGGTGTAGACACAGATGTATTTTGGTTCACTTGAGCTATAAACTCAAGTAAGCTTTTATAATCACCCATTGTCTGGCATCTGTCTGTCACTCCATCTACAGTATATTTGTCCTGTTCATCTGTAAACTTCTCACATTTCCAACATCTCCAGAACCACTAGGCCAATTTCAACAACTCAGCACAAAGTACCTTTGGGTAACAGGGATTCAACATTGTTCAAATAAAGACACCCCTAGCTGCAATAATGTAGCCCTCTCCGATTTTTTTTTTTTTTTTTTGGAGAGGGCTACTACTCCTTAGGATCTCCGTAATGGTGCAAGTGTGGGAGTGATTCACTACTGCACAGATTTCGGCTCAAATTATCAGTAAGTGGGTATTTTATTAACATATCTTACCTGAACTCATAAAATGTAGTTATGCAAGACATGAATCGATCCAAAAATATACAGAACAATACGTATATCGGTTATTTTTCATGTATTCATTTTTCAACATCACAACTTGAATTTATCCGCCATGTTTACTGACCTTAATCGATTTTATTTTGGGACAACCAATGAGAATTCGGGATCTAGGGGCGCGGATCTGTTTAGGATTTCCCTATTTAAGCATAAATATCACTGTTTATGAAAAAAAAAAATCACATGGAATGCTTTTATTTATCGATGTTTAGCGATATCATACAACACAAACATTTATCAACACCGACATTTACTTTATCAAGTGATTCTAAATTTCAAGCGCAAGTCTCAGTACATCACGTGAGAACTGTCATGGCTGCTGAGGAGAACGCCTGGTAAACACGCAGATTTATTTTACTTGGTTTTCGCGTATAAAAGGCTATGATGTTGATAGTGAAAAAAAATTCTGTCTTATTGGAAGTAAGTTGAATGCAAAAACAATTTATTTTGCCTACAGTCGTCCGTATCTAAAAAATATATTTGCACCATTACGGAGATGCAGTGGAATTGTAGCCCTCTCCTGAAAATATCAGATTAAAAAAAATCGGAGAGGGCTACATTATTGCAGCTAAGACACCCCCCCCCCCCCTTTACAAGGGGAGATAATCAAGAAAAAAGCAAAACTAGGTTGTGGTAATTTAAATAATCTTGTCAAGAACCACTGGGCCAGAAAACATGAAACTTGTATGAAAGCTTCTTACCGTAGTTTAAATTCTAAATTGTTCAAATTATGGTTCGCTGGGTTCTGGTGGGGCCACAGTTGGTTAAATCATGGCCTCAGAAGAAGGACGGGGCCATAATCAGAGACCAAAGCTTATACAGGAATTTTTTTTAAAAATCTCAAGAACAGCAGGACCTTGACTACAGTGATATCCTCATGTAGTGCAGATTCAAGTTTGTTCAAACCATGGTCCCAGGGGTAGGTTGAGGTCACAATAAGGGATTAAAGTCTTACAATAGAATATTAGGAAAAATCTTTGTAAATCTTTGTAAATCTTCTCAAGAAAGCAGAGCCAACATAATTTAGGTGAGTATGGTTACCCATCAGCCTCTTGTTTCTTGTTTTATGCCATGTTTTGATCATGCCCAGCAGGAGGTATATTGGTCCTGTTAAAATAAACTCTGTTCCCTATAAACCCTTAATGAAAACTTAATACTCAAACATACTTGGCTCTCCATTTCATATTGTTTATTCTTTGTCAGCACTTAAAGTATTCAATTATGTTAAACATTTTTCTATTGGATGTGTCAAAAATGTAAAACATGCTTTCTAGTAGTCTAAGAAAAGATTCATCTTTAATTTTTCATCATTTCTTTTCCCTCCCCCCATGAGGAAAATTACATGGCAATTTAAAGGTCAATAAAACAAAAAGAAAAAAAAAAATTTTTTCTCATAGTATCGTAAAATCTAGAATGTGTATCCTATTTTCTCAGATGGTATGTATATATAGAGGATATTCAATGTTTTGTAGTTGGATATGGAATTTATTTCAGGAGTGGGACAGGATTTGTTTTTATATTTTCACGAGTGCGAAGCACAAGTGAAAATATAAAAAAATCCGGTCTCATGAGTGAAATAAATTCTATATCCAACTAAAAAAAAATGAATTTTCTGTTTATTACATTTTCTTTCATTTTCCCCTTGCCTCTGTCTTTTCTTAAAACAGTGTCATAGGCTTTGATGTTTTAGTTGAGCAGTTGAGACGTCATAGCTTAGCAGCTGAGAGATTGAAAACATTGTAACTGGATTTTAGCAACATATTTGGGAAGAAATTGGCAGTTTTAGTCTCTATCAATATGGTTCAGTTACTATCTCTATTTTATTACAGGCCAGAAATTATTTTTTACCGTAATTTTTGGAAGATAGGTCGATACTTTTTTTCTCAGAACCATTGGGGTCGTTCTATTTAAAGAATCAACCTTTCTAAGGCTCAAGTTTACGAAAAATGACCCAAAATCCGTAAAATTTATGTCAATTTCAAAACAAATCTGTACAATTTTCGTAACTTTTTAAATTATTTTACCGAGAAAAAATAATACGCAATAAAGAATTAAAGTATATATTCCGTTGATTTCTTGCAAATTAAGTTCCCTTAAATATCCACCGATGTACCCCCATAAAATTATTTAATCATCTCGTAAATAATGTTTCATCAAAGTATATTTTACATGCTATCTGTCTCCATCTTGTGAAGTTGGAAGTCGCATTTGTTCACTAAAAATAAAACCGCGACCATATCAAAATCTAGAATACGGAGAAGTTTTCACAATCGCAATTTGGTAAATAATCGTCATCTTTTCTTTTTTTTTTAGATTTTTTTTTACCATTTATGCGCATCGATGAATTGAAATTGTCTACATAAATATTTTTTCATTGTCTTGTGATATTTTTTTAAATGTAAAATGCGTGAAATAAATTGTTGCCCGTAATTCCTAAATTTATTTATCAAATATACCACTAATCATAAATATATATCATACATGTATCTAATTAACTAATAAAGTGAACTTATCTTCCTCATACCCAAGAGGTACACTGATTTATTCAAAGATTGGCTTCTGTTTGAATTTTAATTGTCTGACAGATAAAGGGATATACAATGTGTGCAAAAAGGTGTTGACAAATGTGTTGGTTTAACCGCCTGCGGGGCATGATTTACAGCACCCGTAATAGGGGTATTAGTGCTACACATCATTGAACATACAAAGCTGTGAAATTCATGATGACTGTTAAATTGCAAATGTACTCCTAATTAAATTTATTTTTACAACAAATATCACAGGCCAAATTAAAGCTTGGAAATACGATTAATTTCAATTGCTCACTATTACATGTAATAGTATTTGCGTGCTTTAGCTAATCCCTAATACAAGAAATATAAAAATGGCGGTCATTGGATATTGTAAATAATGCCTATATAAAATATGTTAAGGATGTCCACGATGTTTAAAAATGGAAATCATTATTGTTTGATCTTGTGTATTTCCCTAATTTATAGCTGTCGTATACTACCGTATTTATGGATACTGTTTAACGACAGAGTCAAACTACGACGGCATTGAACTGGCAAGTTGGAGAAAATACGTTGTATAGAAGAATTCAAGGAAATTTCAACTAAAGAAACTTTTTTTTTTATATCAAACACTATTATAATGTTTTACTCAAAAAATACCATTTTATTTTCTCAATACGATAATATCACGGGGTAAGCCAAGAAGTTCAAATGTTCTGATATGTAGTATCTACATCTAGAAATCGATAAACAAAGCCTCGTCCTTTCTTCTGCATTCATCCAATCTAAGGATTTTTTAAAAATTACGGCTGAAAATGAGCCTTTCGACCTATACACCCCATCGACGTATACCCCCAAAATTACAATACTTACCTTGATATCCTTTCACACTGTGAGAGAATATCACTTAGGTATCCTTTTTTTCACACTGTGAGAGAATATCACTTTTATTCAATAAATTAATCACAGCATTTCACTGTTGAAAATGTAATAAATGCACAAACACCACTCTGTGGAACAGAAAAATGTCTATAATATACAGCAGGAATCTTGAAAAATAAAATCTCAACATAAAATTCTTGAAAATAAATTGCAGAATTTAAAATGAAGTTTCAATTGTTTTCAGGTTAAGCCACATCTTTTAAAGTTTCTGATGCACAAACCAGTTGTCCAAATTTCTTGTGGAGAAAAACATTCAGTGTTCAGATTTCAAGAAGGAACAATTGCATGTGTGGGGTAAGTGTATTCTGAATGTATGAAATTATTCACTATATACTACAATATTGTATTTGATTAAATTAGAAATTTGCTTGCAGATTTCCAAAATTTTCTGTCGAATGTGAAACTCTGCTCAGTTTTCTGACAAATGATTATAAGATGGTATTTTACAATTTTTATAGGGTATCTTTAAGACATATACATGTAGATCAAACGTATTATCACTGATTGACAGATTCATGTAAGCAAAAAGCTAGAGTTATGTATGTCTTTATTTGGATTTTCAGATCCAATGCCAACGGTCAGATAGGGAGTGGAACTCTGGAGGAAGCTACTGTTCCTGTCCCAGTAGAACTGTCCAAACCTGTCAAATATGTCGCCTCCGGAGCTAGTCACACTCTGGTCATCACCGGTCAGTATATGGAATATCCCAGCCTTGTAACATGCCTCTTTTACCTTTAATTCCATGTTAGGTTAAAAGGAGAAAGCAATTAGGCATGTTTTGAGTTGAATTCTTTAAGCTTTTCTTGATTACCTCCCTTTACATATAAAACTGTCTAGGTTGAAAATAATTAAAAGTACACATGCACAGATACTATAGTACAGTAACTTGGAAGGTGTCACAGCTGATAATTTCCAGTTCCAATGGGAGGTTTCAATGTCATTTAAATTATGTCATAGCAGGTGAGATGTGCACTGAATATACATACAGTATACATAAAACAGTATAGCTTTTCCCTGCTAGACTCTAATGATGAAAAACAGACTCATCTAAAGTCACTGATACGAGGTGTGAAATCTAATTTATTATTCTACATCAATGGTACACATGATAGCCACATATAATATTTCAAAGGAACTGGCTTGATTGTTTAATTCTTTTTGCATTTTAATGAAGGGAAAGTGTATGTAGGTTTGAGTATTTTAGCCTCAAAATGACATTGTTATAGAGTAGGCTTCTAATTATTTGGACCAGTAATTAGATTTCCTGAAAAATCATTTGTAAATGTGCAAGATTTTGGTTATTTATTCAATGATTAAAATAATTGGTATAGACTTGTTGATATTTCATAATTTCTGGAAGGTGAAATGATAAAAGTTAGCACATGAATCACTCTCTAAAGTGAGGATATATGCATAAATGTTTTAAAACAAACTAAGGTCCCCCGCCCCTCCCTAACATAATATGAAGACCAGTTTTAAGAAAGAAGAAAGGGGAAGGTAGTGAAATTTTAATAATCGTGAGCTCTGAGGCATATGGTAAAAATGTGTCATTCATTTGTCAGGCTTTGCGTTGTTCATCTTCCAGTGGGACTCTATTTATGTCATATTATGATGGGGGTGATGATTTAAATTGTATGACAGGTGAGGAAGGTTTTGCAGGGAACATTTAACCTCTATACACAACCTTACACCCCTTAAGATTTGTCAGTGGGGATATGTCTTGATTTGAAACAAAACACCTTTACTCTAAGTGATCTTATGGTCTTCATGCAAGCTTGAAATAAGTCTTCTTAGTGTCAATTATAACCATGTTTGTTGAGAATCTCACCACATGATTAAAAAGATGGGATGGATGTGAATATTATTTTTAAATGTAAATATAAATTTCATGGCATACACTATTCTCAAGATCTTTTTTTATTGGAAAAGAAAAATATATAGGTTGAAACAAAGAAGTTTGCACATAACACCCCCCCCCCCATTTACTGTCTTTGTCTTTAAAGATAATAACAAGCATTCTAAGAGTATTGCCTTAACAATACCAGTCCCCTATTGGCAAGTGTAATCTGGTTCTGGTCAAAAATTTAAAATGCCATAATTCCGCCAAAAATCCATGAAGCGGAACGAAATGCAAACTTTATCTTTAACTCATCAAGATAAAGTCACATTCAAAAAATCAGCTCAATATCTGCAAGCGTTTAGATAAAAATTGCGGAAAACCCATAGAAATTGAAAAAGTCGTAATTCCATCAAAAATCATGGAAGTGGAACAGAATGCAAACTTGATCTGCAACTCATCAAGATACACTCACATACCAAAAATCAGCTCAATATCTGCAAGCGTTTAGAAAAAAAGTGTGAAAACCAAGTGGGACAGACAGACAGACGGACAGACTCGGAGGAAACCTATAGTCCCCTTCAGTTTCACAGTTTCACTAGGGGACTAACAACATGAATTGTTTCAAGAATGTAACATAGAAAGAAATATGATAGTTTGTATTTGAAATATCTTGATAACTCTCAAAGAACGAGTGCACTTATGGGCCCCGGTAAAATGTGAAAAAATGAAGAATCAAATTAAGCATAATTTTCCATCTCAGATCATTAATTGATATCTAAACCATAAGATTCAACAAATTTTATCGGTGAAATTCATGTTTATACAAAGAGCAAAGTCATAGAATGTGGTAGGGGTCAGCCGACATTCGTGATTTTCTATAATAAATTGAGGACGGTCATTCATTTCAAAGCTTTTGTTTACTATCAGCCTAACGTTGTACAAACTTGTGCAAACGACAAAAAACACATTATACATTTATAAAACTTGTGTGAAAGTAGGAAATTTGTACAAGATTAGGCTTGTACTTAAAATATTAAAAATGTATGAAAAGTTCAATGTTTTTCCTATAGCAAACGAGAGATATTTACTTGTATGACCTTTATTGAACCCACCCGTCGAAAAAATTATTTAAAATACCGGTAGTCACGTGAGTTCTACCCAGGTAAACATTCCTCAAAGGTGCTCACTGTAAAAGATAGCCACGTTTTGTATCATTATATCGAAGTCGTGCCGCATAGAGAAGTTTGTATGTATTTGGTTTTATGTACACGGGAGGGTTAGGAGAGTTTAGTGTCGTTAAAATATCATCATACATAAAAGCGTCAAACATTTTTAACATTCATGCAAGACAATGGTACCAGTAATGAAAGCCACCTAAATACACTTTTTTCATTTTAAAATTAAAGGACCTAATGTTAATACTTATTGTATTATTTCAAATGCAAGCGTGCAAATTTCTTAGTTTGATCACTATGGCTACAGGCATCTATACAAGTTCATTCTATTTTTTTTTCTCAAGTAAAATAGCGCAAGATTATCATTCGGAAAACGCGCCTGTCAATGATCCACCATCAGATTGTTCAAGTGTCCGATTTAAATGTCTCCTCCCCTTGATTTAAATAAAGGAAACTCAAAATAGGTTCGGTACGACTTTTCCGGATTTGGGGTATTTATAGGCATTTAAAAATCTTCATTTATTTCAAATCCATGATGATTTAGGTGATGTTTTAACGTGATTTTAATTAGAAATATCCACTTGTGTTTAACTATTACCAAAAAGGAACAATTTGGTAATGTCTTCTAAAGTAAAGTGGAACTGAAAAAGGGCCTATTAAGCATTGCGTAAGTGCACTTGTCCTTTCCAGGAAAAGGCTTTTCTAGCTTGCACTCTAGTATTACAGATATAAGCCAAGAAATGCTTCAGTATGAGACTTGAAAGTTCAAGTATCAGTTTATTAGATTACTTGGAAACTTTGCCTTTTATCAAAGATTAAACTGATCTGTGAGTAGAGTGCATTGTTAAGTAACTTTTTAGATAGTTCTGCTAAATTGCCATGTATTCTGGCTGTTAATACATATACAAGGAAAATTGTGTTTACTTGTTCACATTTCCACACATCACATACAGTATATGAATTTAGGAGTATTTAAAATTTAGTGCAGTCAAAGGTCATGCAGGGACTATTTGACACAATCATGCATTTGGGCTATTGGTAGATGGGTATTTCTATTAATTATACTTGTAAAAAATCATATTTGCTGTAGTCATCAGTTACCCCCCCCCCCCAAACCCCCTTTAAAAAAATCACCAAAGCATAAATCACAATAAAGTATAAATACAGGTGTTTTACAACTATGGTGATGATCTGCATAAATTATAAAATGTAAAACAAAAACGTTAAATGATCATGTTGGTTTTGTTCTTGAGCTTTCTTAAGATTTGTTTTAATTTTGACGATTTTGTAGCAAGTTTTTAAAGATTTTGGTAATTGAGTTTTCATCTTTTTCATTTTCTTTTTATCAGTTCTGTTATTATATAAGATACTAGGTAAACAAAATAACACTTTTGGCATTTTTTCTTCACAATAATTGGATAAATTTTGATTGTCTGGACTTGATTTTTTCTTTTCATTTTAGGAAGCGCATTAAAATTTATAAATACCATAAGATCAAACATTTGAAAAAAGGGGGAGGGGTCTTGTGCACCATACATGGGACATTATAGTAATGCATGTTTGGTTTCATTGCTATATTTTCATGATGATGCGATAGATCTTTAGAATTCTCTACTTTTTGATGCTTAGTTGACAAAACTCGATTAGCTATGATTGAGTTTTGAGCTGTCAGAAAGTAATAATGAAGTTTGTGCTTCTTTGGTCTGTGTTTCATGCTTTAGGATGGTGTTTTGTTTAAAAATAATTTATTCTAAAAAAAAAAAAAAAAAAAAAAAAAAAGCTATAACCTTCCTTTTTCGTGAACTTTTAGGAGAAAGACTGTTTACATGGTTAATCTAATCAGTTAGCTTGATCTCCTAAAATTGTAAAAAGGGCCAATGCTTGAGGATGAAGGAAAGTTTGAAAATGCTTTAAATCTTCATAAATACTTCTCTACCATGGGAATCCTGCAGATAGATTATTTACAGGATTATCATTCCAAAACTCTAGGCCTATGGGTGATCAGTGGAATAAGTTTATGACATACTAAAATACTTAGTGTCTTAAAAATTATGTTGAGAAAATATAATTTTATTTTGCATGCAATAACTTAAAAGTGGTGTAATTATTATGTTCATATCTGCACCATGCGTTAGCCACATGAAGTGCTTGGCTTGATATGTTAAGGTCACAGGCTTAAATTCTGATTCTAAAAATAAATATTTTGTCATAAAGGAATCTTTCTTAGAATAGATGCAGCACTATACTCAGGTGACTGTTAAGGTCCACAGGCCTCTTGTATTGGAAATTGCCAGTGTTCTCATACTTGCATTCATGTTTTTCATAAATTACATGCATTAGACTTTATTACAGAACCTTTAATGTAAACATCATCAAATAACACAATTCTGAATAGTGGTAAGGTTATGATGTAAACATATTATCCTCATTAGTGAATATTCCCAGTTTATATAAATTGAATTTGTTGACATTCAATTTGATGCAGATGTTTCTGAACTTTATTTAACAACCCCCCCCCCCCCCCACACACACACACCATACATAAATAAAAATAACACATATGTGCAACTAATTGCAATTTCTTTGAAAAAGTTGTTAACAATTATGTCTTCTTAACCTGCAAAACTTGTGTGCAGGACATTTTGTGCTTTGAACCTGATAAGTCATGATTACTTTTTTAATCTTTGATGGACCAAAAAAGTTCTCGAAAGATTAATGACTTCATTAAGTATGAAAAATGTCACCAATAAATGGCTCGGGGAGTTTTTTTTTTAAAGTGACCCAGCAAATGAGACTTTCAGACAAAATACTACCATTAGCCTCAAGCTGTTGGAAGGTCAAAGGTCACAGGTGGTGGATAATTTCTCCTTAGTTTCTCTGCTGATGAAGCTTTCTAAATGATTAGATTTATGTAGAAGTTAATTGTGCTTTTGTCTTGGGTCACATTTGTTATTTATGTAGATAAGGGATTTTGGAAGAAATTATGACTCAGTTTCATTAGAGCGTGCTTGCACCTTGATGTTAGAATTTTAAATCATGTGCAGCTTTGTGTAATTTTAACCAGCCATCTAATTTGTATTCCATTTAAATGCATCTAGATAAGTTCAATTCACCATTAGATAAAGTAGGATTGATTAAGTCATAATAATTGAAATGTGAAAAGAAGAATAAAAATGTCTGACACAAACACACATCCCTGAAATAGTTGTGGAAAAAACCTTTGCCATTTTCAAGCTATTTAATGCAAGTTATTGTTAAATATATAAAATATTAAAATGATTTCCCAAATTGATAGTGTCACATAAAATTTTAATATTTTTATTGATAGAATTTTAGCTTTTTATTCCCAGTATGGAATATAATGTGTTCCCGGTTGATTTGATCATGCATATATGCATATGTGTGTGTGTGTTTATATATATATATTTATATATGAAAGAATCATTATCTCTGTCTGTGAAGGCATTGCTTGACCATTGTCAATTTTTATGACACATTAAATTAATTCCAAATTAGGGACAGATTTTGTTGATGGTTCTATAACATATTGCATCTTGTAAGAATTAAAGAACAATTTCTCATAAAAATGCCAACCTTGAAAATTTACAGTGGCATAAATGTCTCTGAAGATCATCAAGAGGCCTGAATTCCAGGTTGCACATTTTTCCCTTGTTAGCACACATGTTTATAAAGAAGATAGGAGCAAGGGCGTCATAAATTTTTGAATGATGTGGTGAAGCTAATGCACATAGAAGCATATTGTACCTTGATACATTCTGTTATGACTCAAGGTTTTCATCTTTCATATTTGTATAATCATATCACCTTTCAAGCTTGATGGGGAAAAGAACTTTTCAGTGTATTTTCATGCTGTGCTACATGCATATTTTGTTTTGAGAAGATGGAAAATCTCATCTGATCATAATTTTTGTGTGCATGCAGCATGGTTTATATCATTATAAGATTATTAGCTATATAAAATCCAGTGACAGGAGTGTAATATTTAGGCCAGTTATTTTCATATTAAATACATAGGAGAGAAAGAAGTCCTGTATTGTCAAGATCTACCATATTTCAAAAAAAGACTAATTAGATTAAAGATCTGTTTTCTCCGTCTGAAAGTGTGAGATAATCGAAGGAAATTCCTAGTCTGCATATGAATTTATCACATTTTAGAAGTGAATGATGTCTTCTAATAGTTCTCCGATACCTTCATATCTGCAAATCCTGGACATGGTAGTATTTTGTCGCGTTCAAGTTCATTACGAGTCAAAGTTCTGCCATTACATTGTGTACATTTTGTTCTTTTGAGACAGACTGCTCCACCCTAGGGTTTTGTTTTGTAAATTACATAATCCTTTTATACTTGTACCACACAAAAAAATATGTTGATAATTTTGCACCAAATCCCATTCAAATGTTAAGATCAAAAGGGAAAAAAAATCATCAGGTACACTTTGCTAATTAGAAATGGACTATAAAGCTCAGAAGATTATAAGAAGATAGAAATATTAATGTTGGTTAATTTCAATTTGGCAGATAATGAAATGGCTACATAACATATGATTTATGTACAATGGTGATGTGACTTTTGGCTTAACAACAGTGATATTGGAATTATCTGATTAAAGGATACCTTCAGTCATTTTATTCTTAAGGTGAAGATCTAGTAAATGAAGAGTGCCTACAGATTTCTCAAATTTGAGAAATGAATTCCTTTAATAATCTTTTACAATTATAGCTTAATAATTTAAAGTGTATCGGGACATAATTTTTAGATAAACTCAGTGGAAAAACATATTTTAAACTGCATGCCCTTTTCAATGAAAAATGAAGAAAATCAGGTGTAAAAATGAGAGTTTTCTCCATCTCAGACATAGGAAATGTATCTATATTGCCTACAGACTCTCAGAAAACGATTATTCATATCTTCTTGACCTCTACTTTAAAATAATATTAAACTGAATATAGGTATCGGGGTTCCTTTTTACATGGTTTCAAATTGAATTCCATGAAATGCATCATTTTCTACATAATTCTGTTATAGCTGTAAAGTATGGGAAAAAATTAAGTTTAAATCAATTATGACGTCATAATGGATATAGTACCAAAAACACAGTCTAAACTCATTTACTAGATCTTGACCTTAAATCAGAGAGAGTAAAAGTAGATTGTTGTACAGCAAATGAAATGAGACTATATTTTGGAGGAGTTGAATATCAAGACAGTATCTATAGCTCTATTATTCAAATAAATTTAATTAAACAAGAACAGAATAAAGATGTCTTTTTAACAATTATTTAGTTATCCAATTATTTTGTTTCTTACCGGTACATGTATATATCTACTAATGTTAAAATGTTCTCTTCATATGAATGACTAATCCTTTGCTTCTTTTGGCAGATGAGGGGGAAGTTTATGTGTGGGGGTATGGTAAAGCATGCGGTAAAAACAAAGACATCCTGTCCCCAGAGAAAGTGCCCCTCAAAAACAAGAGAGTGACTCAGGTAGCAGGAGGATCCGCCCACAGTCTGGCATTGACAGGTAAGTAGTAGAGAAAGAAAATGGTTGAAAAATGAACAGATAAAAGGACTTATTTTTAAGGTCGCCACTGTGTGATGTGTCACTTATATGTGCATACAATTAATATGTTAAGTCTTAAAAAATGATCGATTCACAACAACAAAGTATATTCTGAGCAAACTTGTTTTTATGATTTCTATAAATTAAATTGGTTGATTGATATAATATCATTTCACTGCACTAAATTGAGCTTATAATTTATAATAAAAAATGACTCTTATTAGAAAAAGGGAGAGGTCTGACTTGCAGTTTTACGGATACATATGTAAGGCTGATTTCAATTACTTTGAAGGTTAAGAATAATAATAATTTACAAATGGACTAGTACTCCCTTTTTATCCAAGGTTAAGAATTCAGTGTCATTTATGTTGAAATGTTACCGAGACAATCTTTTCTTATTTTTCAGTAGTGAAATTTTTATGATTATGGCTGCAATAAAGTTGACTAGGTCATGTTTATGGTGCATATATAATTTCCCATGTTTCTCATTTATCATTCTTACATATGAAATGCAGTTTTTCAAAACAATCTTTTATTCATAAGCTATCAGACGGGACCTTCAGAGGTGGCTATCATAATGCACCATACTGCTGTCCATGACATACTGTGTTTTAACAGATAGTATTAATTAGCTTCTTATAATGGGGAAAGGTTTGGAAGTCCTAGGAGGTTAATGTAAGCAGCCTGACAGATATTTAGGGTCAGTGAAATGCACATCAAATCAATTGTTTTAACTCTAGCCAGGTGTAATAGTTGTCCCAGAACTTGGAGGAATATTTATCATGTAGTGCCAGTGGGCCACACCCCTTTAATGTGAGTCCATATTGTGCATAGCAGTAGGGAACAGTCTAAATTGACCTCATGTTTGAAAGCATTGATGGTAACTAAGTGCATGATGACTGACACACTTGGCTCTAAAACCATTAGAATTTCATTTGAAATGTTACGGGAAGAGAAATTCTTGAAAAAAAAACTCAGATATGTCTCTCAAAACATTGTCATTCCTTTCCACCTTGACTGAAATATGATATGTAAAATTTGTCAAAAGTTACTTGTGAAATATGAATTTACAAATTGATAACTCATTTAACTACTGAGGACATTAATAAAGATTTAAAATGTAGAAACTAGCAGGTGTAGGAAAGTATACAAGAAAATGTGTTTAAAGGAATGGTAGAGGCTAATGGTTTTCTGTCACAACACACACAGAAGACCTTTTTGCTGAAATGAAAACCCTTTTTTGTTTTCTTAATGAGTATATATATGTAATAGAGCTGTTTCAGTTACATTAATTTGTATACATTACATGTATCTGCAGTGGTTTGAAGTGTTTCTACATTTTCTAGACCAAAATAACTTGGCAGCTCAGTTGTCAGTATCAAATCTCATTAAAATTAATGGCCTGCAATTTTATAGTTTCTAGTGTCAGTCTGGGCCTTTGTAATTGGCCTGAACATGGGTACCGTACGCATATCCCATTTCTATCCAAATTATGTCATTTCATACTTATCTGAAACTGCCACTTAAACTGCAGCATTGAAAAATTCAAAACCACCATATTGCAGTGCAAAAATTATTAAAAGAGCAGAAATTGCTTTTAATTACTGTGGACAACTAGCAGTGGATCAAAGAGGTTGTTGAGGAAAGTGCATTTTTGCATATCACCTTTCTCTTCTTAAGTCGTAGATTACTAAGGGGAGATTAATGCGCACGTGGGGAAGACAGGACTATGGGATTATTAACACTGGCCCTGCCAGTCGATTCAGTCCTGAATTCTACTCCTCAGGTTACAGAGGCATTGTCTATGATTGCATAACGTGTCAGTCCTTGACGGTTTACAGTTCAGTGTGGTTAATCCTATAATGATCTCTCTTACTGATGCACAATAATGATTGCCGCACTGCATTTTTGGCTGACAAAGTTTTTTTTCTGTTTGGGTCAAGTAAAAAATATGCCAGTGACACTTTAGAAGGCCATTTATGAGGGGTATCCTTATTGCCCCATTTTGTTACCCAGACACACAAATCAAGAGACGCCAGGAAGTTTTTGGTATATTTAAACTTAATTATAACTTTAAGGATGCCCAACTTTAACCTGTCAACCACTTAAATTGAGTGAAGTGATGTAGCAATACATGGTTTTTGTTCCTTAACTAGGTTAGATTATTTTGTGTGGAACTGCAACATGCTGGTATTGTCCATATATAGTCCATTAATTGATAAATGCGAATTCGTGATTTCCTCCTCAAGAAATCTCTGTCCATAAAGTGCTACTCTTGGTAAAAAACTTCCTTGCTAATTTTTAGTTCAAGTGTTCAAAAATGTTAATAATTTTGTTTGTATATTCTTCAACAAACATTCTTTGACAAACAAAAAGTGCACTTCTTATATAACAAAGATGACATTCAGTGGAACATTTAATATTTTGATTCCTACAAATTTTTGATTAAGAATTAAAAAAAAAAAATTGAACCTTTCTTAGTTAGGAAGTATCATGTCCACCCTTTGACATAAACAATATGGTCTGCATTTTTCATTTTGTGCATAGTAAAAAAAAATTAAATATTCCTGTACATGTACCTGTATAAGTATATATTCCATTGAGATTAAGTATCTTTTCATAAGCAAGAGGGGCAGACTATTTAAGAAAAATAAGTTATGGAAATTATATATATAAAGATTGAACAGTGTAAGAAAACTGAAAATGTGTGAATGGAATCTCTTAAAAAGTTAGATTGTTACAAAGGAGTTCCATCTTTCTAAAGGTTAGAGTCGGTAACCTTGGGAGCAACTGATCAAGTAAAAGGTTGAATACCAAACACTTTGGGTTCACTTAATTCAATTGTTGATGCATTCTATCCTATATCTGTTTGTTAAGCATCACAAGAAGTGTCAGTTTGTATACCGACTTTCAGTCACCCCTACAGACCCTTGGCAAACCTGTTAATGGCCCGTGTGAAGATCAAGTACAGTTTCTGTCAAAATTTGAGGCCCTTTGGGAAATTATGCATTCTGGAAGTTAACCCAAGATTGACAATGTATGGATTCAACTTGACTGTTGGAATCGTTTGTATACAAATATATGGTAATCTGATTTCTGGGTAATATCTTGGGTTATTATTGAATTAGTGCTGTTTTATGAGGTGCAAAGAGTATAGCTAGAACCATTATAAATATAAGATGGAAAATAGTTCTTGAGGAATATGTCTTCACATTTTCAGAATGCAATTACTGTAGTTTTAAATACTGGAGATAGAATGGTTTATGTATTTAAAAAGAAAAAAAAATCTAAAAAATAAAAGAACAAAAGAAAAGAAAATGTATTTGTCTTCAATATGAGACAAATTCCCATCTTTTTGAGATTTTTTTCCTCTATATTCAAAAATGTGAGTATGTGAAATGTAAAAGGAATAGTAAGCAATGTAATTTGAAAAAATTAGAGAGTGTATAGAAATATGTCACCTTAATTGGCATATCTTCATTTTGCACTTCCAGTAGATTTTCTTATGTATAAAACCCTTTTTACAAAGAGTTCTTTGGCAGTGTCAGAAAATTCTCCTTTGTAGAACCTCCAAGTGTTTGACCTGATCTGTTGAGCTTCGCACTTTTTTGACATCTATATCACCTTTGTTAATGAAGGGGAATTAAAGGTTAATTTAACATGTCTGAGGTTTTTTGTATGGAAGCCATCCATGCCTAAAAGATCTTCCTGTTTCACAACTGAGCAGCTTGGCATTGGTAAATTCAAATTCTACTAAGTAGATTTAGCAAAGTTTATGTATTATACCGGTAGTACATTTTAGTTACAAAGGGTGTTTGAGGATTATCATATGAATTTATTTAAAAAAAGACGTAACTGCAATGCACTTGTTTTTAAAAAGGATCCCAAGAATGCGTAAAGTGAAATTTAAAATGTCTTCAAAAATTTTTTTCTCAGTAAACAAAAACCTTTAAAAAAACTGCAACTCTTAATATTATTAGTACCTCTGACGTGATGGGAAAAGTAGGAGAATTTCATAGAAATATTTTTTTTTCTGTTACAGAACTGCTTTAAGTTCATGACTTTTCTGTAAAGAATGGCTTTGTCTATGGTATACAGCCCTCCAATGTCTCAGAAGGGCCCTTGACAGCAGAATCTAACTGTAAAAGATTCAAATTTTCTAGCTTTATTACACAAGCTTTATCTAGCCCACGGGCAAGTCTGTGCAGTGTTCATGTTTCCATCCTAGCAGTCTCCAGGATAATAAAATCTACCGCTTTCTTGGAAGAAATCGCCTCCTAGTCTCTGTGGAAAATCTTCTAAGGGACCATTACAGTGTTTTAAACAGCTCAAACTGTCATTCTAATGGACACTTAAAGTTTTCTTACATTTGAGCAGCTAGATTCCTACTGCTCATATTAGGCAATGACAACCAAACAGCTGCCAATTTGAAGGGGAAAATTAACACAGATGGAGAGAGATGGAAAAAGTCAAGAAGCTCATTTTCTATTCTTGTAATACAATTTGAGTACATAAAAATGTCATTAGACTTTGGTTGATACAGCACAGATTGTAGATTTTGAAGGAATGAATAACCAAAAACATGCTAATGAATTTTAGACTCAAATAAAAAAAGAAGTGATTTTTCTCATTCTTAGGAATTTTTCCTTTAGTACTTTATATGTGTGTGGTTCACCTTATAAATGTTCTATTTGTAATAATTCATTAACAAATTGTGTAAATAATACTTTTAAATGCAACATATTATTTAGCTTCAATACACAGAAAGTCTGTATTCCATTTATCAGTATTGATAATGTTCACTGGACTTTTAAAAAATCCAACATGTTTTCACTTCTTCTCTTTACCATTCTTTAAACAATATGATACTGCATGAGTATCTCTAAAAAGAGTGTAGTAGACACTGTTAATTAAGGTGCCTCTTCTGTCTATGAAATCAGGGCAATAAAGCTTCTATTCCATGTCTTTTTTATTGAAAGATAATGATTTTTTTTAAATGATGACTTACACATTGTCAGTATACTAGTGCTTTTTAAAACAAGACAGTAGAATGTTAATTTGTAAAATATATTGCTAGTGAGCACTTTAACCCATACATGTAAATTGGTCAATTTCACCTGAAATTATTTATTAGATATTGTTTTTAGTTTGTTACATACTGTAGTTTTAATTTGCAGCCTCCCTCCCCTTCCAAAGGAAAAAGAAAGAAAAAAATCAGGCAAAAGGTTGTTGTTTCATACTTGTTACCATTTTATAAAGCCATTTTGGGAAAAGAAAAATAACATTCTATACATTATGTTTGGATTGTGGTGTGTTGGCTTTAGAAGTTAACTTGCCCAAAGAATTTCTCCATATATCACTGATCTTTTCTCCTTTCATTATTGAACTGCACATAAAGGGAGTTTCAGCCCCTCCCCCGACAACTCCCACCATTCTTTGTGTGACCTGGCCAAATTACGTGTGGATGGTGGGAAAATTATCCCCTGAAAAGGGATAGTACAATAGTGTGAGGATTGAGAAAGCTCTCCTTTTGTTGAAAAACGTAGGAGCAGTTCTAGTGAATTGTACATCATGACAGGTAGAAGTGGTCAGAATGTTCAGACCTTGCAGAAATGGCAGTTTACTCTAAAGTGTTATCCATCATTTCATAGCCACTGTATAGAAAACTAAAATTGCAATAAAGAAATGCATTTCTTTGCCATGTTTACTGTCTTCTACATTTGCATTAAATGTATAACATTGAATGCATAATCATATACATGCCTGGTAATAATGAAAATTTCTTAATGAACTGTATTATCAGAATGGTAATGTAATAAGGATTTGACAGCAAACTCTAACACCTAACAAATTTCATTTGCAAATTTGCTCATTATTGAAATTGTTGTCATGGGACTTGTCTAATCCACATATAAGAGAAAGTAGTTAGATTCTTATAACTTTCATAAAGACCATGACTCCAGTGCATAAAGCACAAAGCAGGATGGTTTTTTCAGATAAGGTCCATCCATTAGCTAATAGGAGAAGAGGACTTGATTACATAATGCCATGCCATTTATTCTCATATAAAAATGAATCCCAATTACTTTGAAATAATGAGCCAAAAAATAAGATATTTATGGGGATAGTGTCAATTTCTCTGGCATATAACAGCCATGCTTTATCAGAGGTATAGATCAAAGATTACATCATGAAAACAATTGAAACATTTAGACACTATAATCCCAAAGGAACCATTGGGCATTTTGGGACTATTGGTTAGGTGGTGAAAATAAATGCAGCTTCAGGACTGCACACATATGGTAAGAGTTTATGAAAATTTATTTCCCATAGGCCCTATGGTGACAGAGAAAATTGAATATTATTTTTAATATGTTATCTCATTTTCCCACTATTCATTGATAAAGTAATCATTCAGCAATAAGATAATAAAAACAACACTTATTCTGAGAGAATCTATAAAAATTAAGTAGCCAGAAAGTATATGCTGCATCACATTCATGAAAAAGCAATTTTGAAATGTTGAAACTGTGTGTACATTTGATTTTGAATGATTCAAGAGATATGACATCTGATTTTTATGAAGCAGTGTAAAAACATTGAATTAGGATGGTATTGCAGTAATTAAGTTCTGAATTAAAGGTGTTCAATTTCAATACAGGTTTGTTGGTCTTTGTGAAGTGAGGATCAGTGGAATTGAGTTAGTATTTTAATGGCCACCAGGTGTTATTGTGATAAATAAAATTTATTGTAATAGCTTTATAAATATAGCAATAAACCATGAAATCTCACATGAAGAATTTTTTTTTATATGTACTAATGCTGAAGAATGTCATCTAAATTAACAATATCCTATACAGAGTGCAATGACTCTCATTAGTTTTCTGTAGATGTGCAAGATCATGAATAATATTTTTGATAGTTGTTTTCCTTTTCTTTATTTTAAACCACAGATGTAATTAATAATATTTGATATAGACAACTGATAAGCTTCTGCTTGGTGACATGTTATTAATTTTCAAGACCCAACCTTACTCCGCAGGGCTATCATATGACTCTGTACCAAAAGAAAGATTCCTGTGCCTTTTAAAAATAATTATTCATGCATTCAATTAATCTATTATGGTGTCTCTTTGTTTGATGCTAATGTAGACATAATGCAAATGTTGATAGCATCAAACATGGGCACTGCCACTCAAAATGCATTCAGAATAGAAGAACAACTCAAGAAACTAACAAAACGCACATTAATTTGTTTATGAATACCTTATAATTTTGTTAAAATATTCATTACTATTTTCTATAAACATTAGTTTGATTTGATTCCATTCTGCTCTTCAAATTTGTTATCTTGGAGGAACTCTCCTTCAAAAAATTAAATAATTTCTGTGGGGTAATATGATGGATTGCATTTTGTGGCTGATGCGCTGCACTGTAATTACATGTGTTGGCTAACCATTGTTGGTGATAATCTGTGAATTAATCCATCTGCCTGTAATTTTACCTCTCTTTATATTAATGAGAAGTTTAAATTTCTGATCCCATCTTTTGAATTCTGTGTACTTTTGGATGGATCATACAATAGTCTTTTAATCCAGACGATATTTAAACAATTAGGATATAAACTGTGTTTGGAGGTCAACATTGGATGCATTGATTTCCGTAATTTCTTGAAGGCATAAAACTTCATCTTGGATATGTACGGTACCTAGTAAATAAACAAAGGGACTGACTTTTTCCAATAGTGAGTAAGACCAAATATATATCTTTGAGGAATCCCATTATTTTAGAGAATCTATTCTTTCATGATATTAGCTATATACAGGTATATCTCATTTTTTATGTGTAGCTGCAGGTTGCAATTTGTAATTTGGATGAATAGCAGTACATAGTTGATTTCTTTGGACAATAATTTAATCAAAACTTTTAATCTTATGCTTTTGAATAAAATATATGTGTCAAAGTTGTTTTTTTTTTGGTGTTAGTTTGCATATATATTCTGTTTAAGTAATGTGTAATTCACTTCCCTGTCATTTTACCCTCAGAAGTGTCAAGGGTGAGTAGAAATTGCTCTGTCTGTCTGTCTGACTTTGTGTCAGGGACTATAAATTTTTTAATGAGAAGTCATTGGAAGCTCATGCATTACATAGTTTGCTGTCAAACTGGAGATTTGACCCTGATAAAAAGTTATTTGACCAGGTCATGGTCAAAATAATTGGCAGAAAATATACTCAGTGTTGTACTGCAAAGGATTTTAGGTTGATATTTGGCACAAATACATCTATGTTTTACAATTTAAGAGTCATAAAAATCTATACAAGTTCCTTTTCAACACCTTTTTAGAATACTTTAAAAAATGCAGGAAATGTAGGGTTTTGTTTCAGACCAGATCAAAGCTTGAGTGAGACTGAAGGTTTTATAATGGGAGTTTAATATACAAGTAATATACAAATAAGTACCTCTTTAACATGCCCCTTTTAGAGGTAAAATATATTGATCATGTTAGAGCATATTTTGTTGGTTTTACATCAGAGTTAGTTTAATACTTTTGATTTCTACAATTTCAGAAACAGGCAGTGTGTATGTTTGGGGAAGTGGTTCTGACGGACAGTTAGGGTTGGGTAAAGCTGTTACATTTCAAAGTTCCCCTAAGAAAGTCCACCACTCAGAACTAAAGAACAATGTAGTGCAGATTGAAACAGGGGAGTACTACAGTGCAGTAATTACAGGTAACAAAGTTTGTGCAGATATTCCAATACCAAAATTATCAAACAATTTATTATTGTGATATGAATATATCAAGTAGCTAAATAGGTATCAGAAGCAGTATAGCTTTTTGGATAGAATGCTGTACAGATGTCTCTGAAAGACATTATAGCTGTCAGCCAGACAGACAAATTATGTTCTTGAATTAACAATTTTATTCATTTTCAGCACTTGGACAGAATGTACCACTTAATATAGTGCAGCTACTCATTTCAATTTCAGACGATGTAGATACTGTATTGATTTCATTAATTTCCATCATTTTTAATACCCAATATCTTGACATCACTGAGTCATACTTGTGCTTCCCATTGACATCCTACAACATTGTCAGGAGCATAATAATTATTATGGATAGTAATATCTAAAGACCCATTTTAGTAAAACTACAGACCTTTACTATGTGCAACACTCTTAGGTCTTGGCCTTGGTATTTGTAAGGGAGATGAATTTTCACCTTTTATTTGTCAAGTAAAGTGATGCTGACATAGGAAAACAAATAAATATTTGTAAAGTAATTGAAGGTTATAGGATTTATTGATGAAATATGAGAGTTTTTCCACCCCCTCTAGAAGATGTGTACTTTGATTTTATCAGCAGTATTATGAAAGCATTGGGAAAAAACATGGGCTTAAACTTTTTGTCAGCTTTTCAAGCACCTTTCTCCAGGAGCAAAGCATCTAATGCACTTTATTGAATTTTTTAATGAGAATATTGAAAATAGTTGGCTTTGATTTGATCTGGTAATTGGAAAGGATATAAAATTGACATTAAAGTAAAAGTATTAATTTTTTATCGGCCATTTACAATTATAAACCCAGCCTGAGCAAAGACATTGCTGTAATTATAATCAACAATGTATCTATTGCTTTAGACAATTGAGAATGTGAAAGTTGAACAGAAAGCAACCCTTTATAATTGAATAGTTGTGTTAATTTCTGTCATTTATGATCGCTGTACAAAGTGAACATCAATTCTGTGATAGATTTGTAAACAAATATTGATAACAGATATTTCATGCATATTTGGTTTTATTTATTCTTTCTTTCTATCTTGTATTTTTATCATCCATTTCCTGCGTAATAAGGTGGTGAATTTCAGCTCGTTAATCACAAACCATCACTGACGCTGCCTTGATTAGTCAGTATCTTTTATACATCCCTCCATTAAGTAAATGCATAGAAAACCAGAAATCGCTAATCAATGGCATACCACAATGCTAATTGAGAGCAATTCATTTACTATCAATTAGTGGGTAGATTTTATCAAAGTGAAAAAAACATTGGCAAGACTAGAGATGGGGAACATCAGATTTCCAACCACCGTATTGTGCACTCTGGGATGGAGCTATTAATCATGATGAAACTATTGGATAAAACTAATAATCCTTAGTATTTGAAGCAGTCACCATAGCAAAAGATTTGTTTCTGTGGTCAGATAAAAGACTGCAGCACAAGACGATGCTGTAACTTCTTTCCTAATTCTTTATATTGAGAGATTTCTGAATTCCATCTCCATCTTGTTTTTCATATTGGCATGAATCTCTGAAAAACATTGAGATTCAAATGGTATTATAGTATATGAAAGATTCATAAATTCATTTTCTGAAATTTCTTTGGACAGTTTTCTTTTCATGTGTAATTGATTATCACCACAATTAAAACTTGAAAATTTGAGATAAATTCATTCTGTGAATAAGTGAAATCTTATTTAGATTTTTTACTACATGCAACTGATTATGATTATATCACTAAATGGGCCTTGAGTAAGGGACTATTAAACTTTCATCCATAGAATTGAAAAAAACTTTTGTAGGGTTTAAATACCTTTTTATTAAATTTTTATTAAGCTAATAATTTTGTGATATGATGGTTCTTAGCAGAACCTTGCTCAAAAGGCTGAGATATGGACAAAAAATGCAAATCTAATAGTATATATAAAAAGGTATGAGAACTTAATAAAAAACATTGTCATTTTTTGAAGCAAGACATTTTACAAGGTATATTGCCTTTGACTTTGACTTATTTTGATGGAACAAATGTGTATTTGCCATTATACAGCAGTTAACGGGTGTTTGAAGGCCATGGAAAGGAAAGTAATTGAAATTTTATTGGCAAACATTCCATATGAATAACTGTTTTCATTCTGGATATTAGAAAAAGGTGAATGTTGATGTATAATATAATTAAGAGGAAAAAAAGAGACATTGGTTTTCTTTGCAGAAAATGGTGATCTTTTTTTCTGGGGAAAGAATAGCCATGTTATTAGACCTGACAAACCATCCAATTCTAAGTTCTGGTTGCCATTTCACATCAACAAAGGTCTAGAACCTGTCCAAGCTGTGCATTGTGGCTCCTGGCATGCTGTTGCTATAGGCGGTTATCCAGGTATGCACATTTTTATATTTTCTCGAGATATTAGGTAATGCTTTGAATCTGATATTTGTAGCCTTTATAGTAATATATAAACCATTAACAAAAAATATAGATTAACTCTTTCCTGTACAGTAAAAGTTGATTTTTCACAAGTACTTTTTTGAGCTGATGGAATAATGTTGTGTTTCATTAGCATCAGTACTACAACCTCAGATTCATTCAGAAGTGTCAAATCAAGAGTTTCCAATGGCTTCTCCAGTAAATGGTGTACATGTAAGTAGATGTTTTCTCTGCTTACTAATAATTGTATTATAGATGGACAAGACAGCACACACAGACAAGAAAGTTACAATATGCCATAAATGCATCCCAACCACTAAGATACTGAAAGCGGATGACCCCAATTCTTTAAATTTGCCTTTATTCTTGCATCAGTTATGCCTCTTGGTAGCAACCTAAGTTTGTTGTATACTGACCAATTCAAATTAGCAATTTAATTCTCTCATCATGAAAATCAGTCCATGTTGTTTTTCAGTTTGAAGATTTTGATCCTTTAAATCATAGATTCACTTTCACAAATGAAGTAGTAGGGGATTATTTAAAAAGTATGCAAATTATTGTTGAAGTATTTAATGTATATTAATGTACAGAAAGGGATTGCATAATGTACATTGTGTGTTAAAGACCCTGGTCAGTAAGCTTTTTCATTGTATTTGAATGTGAAGTGTACTCCAGAATCTATACAAAATGTCACTACCAGTTACAACCAGACCTCTATTTTGGTCAACGTGAATATTTTCATGCAGTTAATGTGAATGAAAAATTATGTATAGGAGAGTGATGACACATCATCGGAAAGTGAAGGAGATTTTACAGAGTTACCCCAGATAAAATCCAACAAAGATTACACTACAAACAAGGAATCTACCAAAATCAGTATTGCTGACTTCTATGCTGGTCAAGACATCTATTCCGATGAAGGTTTGTTAATCCAGACTAAGATTCTGCTTAATAATTCTTTTAACCTGTGGACCTGTTTTCAAAAAAAAAAAAAAAAAAAAAAACAAGCCTGAAAAAAAAAGAAAGAAGGAGAAAAATAAAGCTTCATTAGTGTTAAACTTTCTTTTCAAAAAATGATTATTGCTTGAATACAGTTGAACTTCAGTATCTTGAACACCAGTATCTCGATACCATAGATATGTTGAACCCAACTGCAGGTCCCAATCACTTTTTTCTCTATGTATTTTACCCTCAATATCTTGAATTCTTGGATATCTCGAAGTTTTTCCTTAGGCCCACTAAGTTCAAAATAATGAAATTTGACTGTGTATAGTAAAATTTTTAAGTGTTTATGTAAAATGCAAAACTGTATTAGGAAAAAAAAAAGATATATTGAAAATACTCTCAGTCTCTTTTTCATACTTTTTAAAAGGAATGGAAATAGGTGCATAAATTAAATGTATTTCACCAAAATTATATTTTTTAGGGTACTGAACAGTTTTTAGGGTACTGTTGACAGTTTTTCAACATTGCACATTTTAGGATTGATTTACTAATATCCTTACAGGTGAGCCACAAAGTCCAGCTAGTTTTTCTGAGATTAAAAATGACCATTTGAAAGCAGATACAATGCAGATAGACAAAGCAGAAAGTGCCAAATCTCATATTGTTGTTCAAGTCCCGAGACCATCTAATACAGCAGTGGACGTGGCTACTTCACCTATTCCTTTTAGTGACTCAGAATCGGAGAGTGAAAGTGGTTCTAAGACACCACAAAATCTTGCCAAACCAGTGAGTGCCAAATTAAACAAAGTGCCTCAGGTTAACTTGGAACCAATACATGTGGCTCCAAATGATTCAAAAGTAGTAAACAATATACATGCCGGTGGCTTTAAGTCTGAAAGATATACAAAAGTAAGTGTTCAGCCAAAGTATTTTACAGCCCCTCTTGAGAGAGAAAGAGAGAGGTCAACTTTGAGTAAGCCCCCAACAACTGTGATACAGTTAAGTAAGTCAACTGCAGACAACTTCGTATTACCAAGAGAAAACACCAACTTTACCAGTAGACAAATTGATCTAACTGATGTGGAGTATGCAAGAGCAGTTAACTCATCTAAATCTAGTGAAAAACTATACTGGATAAATAAATTAAATGAAAGTCGTGAACGTGAGCATTTAGCACGTTTTCAAAATGGAAATACTCAATTGCGTACCATTACCCAAGATAGTAATGCTAGTCGAAACACATTCAGGTCTGGTCGAATGAGTGATACTGCTGTTGTGAATTTATATTGCTATGACAATGTATTAGATGGTACTCCAGCCAAATGGAATCGTAGCATAGAAAGTTCTCTGGGGGACTATGGACGCCAGTTTGGTAACGGTGATATTCTGGAGGAGGCTAGAAGAGCTGCTCGACTACCTCCAAAAAATAATACTCCCAGTAACAGCATTCCAAGCAAGAAGTCTGCTGATGCCAATTTTGTTGTAAGTTCCTAAGTTATGATAGAAAATGATGAATTGTTCATGAAATAAGTAATTCAGTAGTTATAAGTTGGAACCATATGTGTTTAATACTTAACCTTGTATTCTCTGCTCACTGAAAGTACCCACAAAAGGTAAAGTATTTTTTTTAAATATTTTTTTTTTAATTACTGAAAGAAAAATGGGATTTAAAATTGAAAGGGTAATTAGATTTACATCTTTTTTTACATGCCACAATTGAAACAGCAGCCAAAGCTATTGAATTATCACCCAAAATTATTGTTGATCAGGTGAAGGTTAATTTATTTGGAGGTCAAAGGTTAGGCCGTCTTTAAAAATATGTTTGCTTGCCATCTTCTGACTCGGGATAAAAAGATATGGGTAGGTAGGGGGGATTTTTTTTTAATTAAAAAGAACTTCCAAATATGAAGTTAAAATGGTTACAAATTGGATTAGAAAATTTCGAAATGAATAGAAAAATAATTATTTCTTGGAGGTTAAAAATGTTTTGAGTCGGGCCGTTTTGGTCGGCCAGTAGATGACAAACAAACAATTTTTTAAAGATTGCCCTATATATAGGTATTTACAACCAGTAAAGAGTGTGTATCACAAATGTATTGAAATGCATACAAATATTTTGGTTTCCATTTTGGATTTGGGTTATCCTTGGATAATGGATTTTATCACTGTGGAAGCTGCATAGTTTTTTTACTTGGATTGATCATCATCTCCTCAGTGTTCCTTAACATCTTTGTGTGCTGCACTTTCAAGAAATTTGTATGAATGTCTTAAAATGCATGCCAAGAGTATATTAACATTTTACAGATTAATTTGTGATAAAGTAATGCAACCTGTAAAGTAATCTCTAATTTCAAAGAAATCACTTCTGAAGTATTTTCATTTGGATTTGACACAAATTACCAGCCTGTAGTTAAATCCTCCTTGTATTTAGATGTGCTTCTCCATACTTCAGTTAATCAGTCATCATAAGATTTGTGTGGGATCTAGACATGGATTTTAAAGGTCTTGGTCTTAATTGTAGCTAATGAATGATATCTGTATAATACACTGTTGAGGTATTTGGCCTGTATATATGCTTGAAAAAAAGTCCCTCTTTGAGAACAAAAATATTCCATTTTGTATACAAAGAAATACAATGGAACTTAATTATGTTCCACCATATCTAATTTTCGATCTTTCATGCAATGCCTTTAGTAAATTTTTAAAAAGAGCTTTGCATTTAGTTTAATAAAGATTATGTAATTTAGTGTTTTGAATTAAGTTACTCAGTGGTGGATGGTATGAATGTTCTTAAAACCTTTATGATCAGACGAAAATTACAGTTATTTGTATGGTGTTTATAATCTTGACCAAGGGAAAATCATGGGTGATATATATATCAATTTATTCCATAACTTCTAAATTATGATGCTTATTGTATAACATAGAAGAAAAAAAAGTTGTACCTTAAATAAACATAACCCTTCTCTAAAGCCTACTTTATTCTCTAAATTTTAATATTTCCCTTGTTGGTTTTTCTTTATTATACGGCGCAATGTAAGGAAGCTAGATACTCATTCCTTTAGTTAGAAATGGTGTATCGTACAAACAAAAGTTGGCTCAAGATTTAAATATAACTATGAATCAATACATTTTCTACTACAATAGGTTTGGAAAACAATGAGGAGGGTAAAAAAAAAACAATAATTTCCTCCCAATTCCCTTTTAATTCCCTGGTACTTTGAATCCCATGTGTGCAGTGCATGTTCTAAATCTCATTTCTTCATGCAGGATTATTATTGGCCTTTCCCTTATATATATATATATATATATATATATATATATATATATATATATATATATATATATATATATATATATATATATATATATATATATATATATATATTTAAGGCAGGATTGTTGTTTACAAGCAGTACATTTGACACCAATGTAGTGATGTACCTCAATAGAATTTCCTTAATTAGGGAAAAAGTAATTCTGGTTTTTCTTTTGAACAGCAATGACATAATATTTAGGAAATACTGGCATGCAAATATTAGATTTATAACTTAGATTTAATTATTTCGGTGAAACTTGTAAGGTTTATTTTTCTGAATTCATTTGAAACAGAAGCCAATAATCTCTGGATATTTGTTGCGGCAAAAGGTCTGTCCCTTCGATATGTAGAGCTAGTTTATTAAAAATACAAAATTCATCATTTTATTTTTGTATTCTTTCACCCTTTATTTTCATTATATATTCCGTATCCTTGTTTAGAAGTTCTTGTAATATTCTTTTAACTCAGTTTCACATACATATATTTCTAAGTTCTTTTACACTTTGTTACAACTCTACTTACCACATGTTATGTTCTCAAATATACATTTGACTTTTAAAATTTTTACAAATGTAATATCAGTTTTAAATCACTGTTTTCTTCATGCTTTAACTCTCTCGCCAACATAAAACCTTTTGTATATTCATTCGATATATAATTTTTTTTTTAAATATTTCTTAGCTAGGTGGAAGCAGAAAAAACTTTATGATACATATCAGTCATGGCGATATTTGTTCTATCACAACATTTTCGTGGTAAAATTAGGCTTCTGCTTTTTTTATTTAGCATAGAGTGTTTTATTATTTTTGCCAGATTTATTGAAAAGTATTAAAAATTTGAACAAATGTTCAATAGTCGGATAAAAAAAGAAAATTGACCACTTTTATCTCAGTGAGAATATAATCACTTCCTTTTAAATTTTTTTCCGCTTGGCTGATGCAATTTATGTTTTAGGAATTAGAAAAATTGGTACAAACACGTTTATTTCTTGTACTTTTAGCTCCAGATCTCCCGCAATGATACAGTCATTGCTCCTCTGAAAGTACCCAAGAAAACTGCCACTCCCCGACTCAACCTTATGGAGCGGTACGCAAGTGTTCACAATCCTACATCAAGTAGTAGTAAATTTCAGGAAAAGAAATCAAAGTTTGGTTTAAAGACGCCACGAAATGTCAGTATACCGGGCAGTAGAGGGAATTTGAAAAAAGAGTTGGAGGAAATATGCATTAAAGGTGAAACAGGACCAAAGAAAGCAATGTTTTCTAGTGCTACTTCTTGGAAGGACAAGGGGGATCTTGCTCGTATCAAGGACTTGACAAATGGAAACATTAAAAGCAAGACTGATTTAATAATTTCTACTGAAACGTTGAAAAATAAGGAGAAAAGTGAAAAGAAATCAAAATTGAATGGACAAGATAAAGAAAATGAAATAATTGAAAACAGTTCCTCTAAAGAAGGTGAAGAGGAAGTGTTAGAAAATAATTATTGCATAGAAGAGACCATGTCTGATTATGGAAGAAAGTCGGTAACCCAGTCGAGCTAGAGCATGGATCGGAGTCCTTTACAGGTTGTCCGAGCCCGTTCTGCTTGTACTTGGTCTAAGTCGACTCGCTCGCTTCCACTAGAAAAACGGCTTCAAAAACTAACATTGTTGTCATGCAATAAAACACTAGGCCACTTCTAAGCTTCGCCGGCATTGTTATCCAATATGTAATGTTTGTGTGTATTTATTAGATAGCGGTTTGAGGCTTACATTGTTAAAATAATGACGCTGGTAAGAGTTGTTTGTTGTGATTACCTTCTAATATCGTTGCTTAATTTTGAAGGCATATTTCTACTGAATTTGAATGTGTTTGTCCTCTAATAAAGGATATATAAATATTTAATTAAGAAAAGGAGGTGGAAAAGTGGAGGAACATTGGTGATTTATTTTGTAAATTCACGTAAAGGTTTTTTATGGAAATTAACTTTTCAAAATAAAATAGAAAACCGAATCCGGTTATAAACAGGAGAAATAAATTTATTCATGTGTTATAGGGATTTTGTCCTAATATTGGGAAAAAAATTATCCTTCTATTAATTATTACTAATTATTACCTCAAATTGTATTGAAATATAGAAAACATTTTCCAAATGCAAAATGAACAAAATTTACTTATAACGAATTAAAACTTTGTTCACTTAGAGTAGGCAAACGTTAGAGAAAGCCATAATGGCCAAAATCGTAACAAAGGGAGATTCATTTGAAAATCTGAATCGGGAGAAATAAAGAAGTCTGTCACTTTTGTTTTCACCATGACAATTACGCACGTAATTACGGTTAATACTAAGTCCGTAGTTGTAGCGAAAAAGAGGAAAAAGTAGCTCGGTTGATGAAACTAGACACCTCCAAGACATCCCCAATCCGCAAAATTAACATCGGATCAATAGCAGCCTGAAAAAGATGTTAGAATTTAGTAATAGCAACTATTGAATCTTAATTGCATGCTCGGAGACATAGTGCGACCAAGATTTTCCTGTACTTGTCTTGGAAAATTAAAGACCACGTCAACAACGTGTCTTATAAGAACGTATTTTTAGCCCGTGTCTTTTCCTTTGTTTCCTGTCTCAATATAACGTCTTGGAAAACATTTTTGGAAAAAGTATATTTTCAATTTGTTTAATTTTTCTCGTTTTACTAATTGTAGATTCATACTTGGATATGTATCTAAGTAAGAAATGTATATTAAAAGGTTGCGTAAAGTTTTCTATTTTTTCGTTAAGCTCAAAGTCGCCATATGGCAAATTATAATTTTTGGATATTATTGTAACCTAAAATTCCACGTGCTTGCATAATCATATCGACAAAAGGATGATCGGGAAAGAAACGCGCGTGTCCCGCCGCAACCGCAAACCGCACGAAACATAAAATTGTCTTGATAGTTGAATTTAGGATATAATAATGCCTTAACCAAAATAATTACAGTGGAATGGTAATGTATTACCATTGACTGTTCGTACTGTCTTTATAGAAGAGTTCATTCAAGTTTTGAACAGTAATCCCATTACGGGAGTTTTTTTTTTCATATTATCGGTTTTCAGTTCAGATTGGTATTATTTTGCTTTCTTTAAGGGGAAAAAATCAATCATTGTTAAAAAAAAAAAATCTTAATTAACTTTCTCACAGAAATCAGAAACTGAAAGTATCAAAAGATCCCACCTCTGTTGTCTTTCAAGTAATTTACAAACTAAAATTTCCCGTTTCCAATCGAAAGTTTATTTAATGAAATATAAATTAGTTTTTAAAAAAAATGATGCAGAGATTTTAATTAAGGCAGATGGAGACTTTCTAAAACTATTCCGAAACATATTTTTGGTGAGAATTTTTTAGAGGTGGATTTAATGGAATTGCGGGATGAATAGGTTTTCCAAAGATGGTTATGAAATGTGATAGGCACTAACAAAGACAACACAATACAAGGAACAGATGCGGTTTGAATTACTCGACTTCTTGCGAGAGGATTGCTATTTTGAGGTTTTATTTTAAAGATAACATGATTATGGTGTTGCAATAAATCAATGATTAATTCGGTTCTATTCAATCGTTCAAGAACAACCCCTCATAATTTGGTGCCCATAAAACTTTTTCAATCTTTCCTCATCTTGGATATGTAGATCGCAGAGCTGCTCTAAATATATCGATTAAGTCTTATAGAATACAACTTACAAAGGAGAAGAGTTGAGTACAAATCGAGGTTATTTTAATAATTGGGATGTTATAAATTATGAAAAGGGGGGGGGGGGGTATCATGGGCATATATGGTTTTATAATATGACAGTTGCGGTGTTAACTAATAATGGTATAGTAAATTAAATGTCTTGATGTGCTTTAGTAAATTAAATGTTCTGATGTGTTCACAATTTGCACAATCAAAAATTACTTTTTCATATATAAATTGATGGAATGAAAATGATGTAGATTAATGTTATCGTAGTTATGGCTTCATTAACCAATTTTAAAACTTGAGTCGAACTGATCACATGACAAGAATGCTCCAATCGTTTGCGTTGCCCACCTTCCTCCTGTAGTCAAAATTGTCCGATATTTTTATAACTACAATGAGGTATATCGATATACATGTCTCCAGTCAATGTGCTTTTAGAAGGTGTGTTTCATTTCTTTGTGTAACGTATTGAAGAATGAATGGAAATCGAGCAGATGTGAAAATCAGACACTGAAAGAACTATTTTGAAAACATTTCAATTACGAAAATCTCACATAAGAACAAAGCCTTTTTTTAAAATAGCAATTGTAGAAATTCACTGAATGTACGAAGTGCTGAATGCCGGTCAAAATGGAAAATTGAGAGATTCTGAACAATCGGAAAGGGAGAAATAATTCAGGTTATTGTGTCATTTGATATTTCTAAGAGAATATACAAAGAGTCTCCAAAATAATGTAAGATTTAATGAAATTAAAGATGCCCATTACAACACCGTCTGTGTACATCTGATATTTGAAAGGACAATTTTGAGTACGACTGTTGGTGTTAAAACATCAGAGAAATTGATTATTATGAATAAAATATCGCACGCCTGAAGATATCAAATGTCAAACTATGCTTGCTTGAAAATTTAAATATTTATGTCTGAAACTGAGTTTTTGTATCCGTAGGGAAATTTTTTAAAAACGGGATGATAAAATGTTGTGGATTGTTGGATCCTCTGGGAGGGGTATAGAGTGTGTTGACTCCTTCATTTGAATACCTGTCATTTCAGATGGGAAACTGACTCAAAGTAAACTTGATTTTTTTTAGTAAAGAATTATGCTTAAGTTGTATCCTACGAAAAACTCGACAGCATGCAGTAGCACCTGCTTTTTCACGAATCCAAATGTGCTTGTATTTTGTAATTTCAAATGGCGCTTTGCTACAATACTGCAGATTATATTCTTTAGGATAATAATGTTTTCATATTTTATACTAATGCTGCATTAGGTGAAGAATTTTTGTTGTTTTACCCCCCCCCCCCTTCCCCCTTGACTCTCTGATGCAAGGTAATATTATCATTGAAAGTCTATGCAGCAGAGACAAAATATGACTCTAGATGAGTTTTTCCTTTTGGTCAGAAACAATTCTAACAAAGAGTTTAAGATGTCAAATACATACTGTATATATGTTTTTTGTTTTACTCTGGTTAGAACGTTCGATCTAGCTAGAGTCGCGGAGTAAGGAGTTATCCTTACGTCCCGGGTTCTAGTCCCACTATGGGACGTGGAGACCAGTCCTTCGGATGAGACCGTATAAACCGTGGTACCATGTCGCAGTAGGTGCTGGCACAGAAAAGATCCCTTACTGCTCAATGGCCCTGAGTGCCAAGTATAGGTCAAAATTTGTAGCTCTCCACCGGCAAGTGGTGGTGTCTCCATATGAGTGAAAATTCTCGAAAGGGACGTTAAACAACAAACAAACCTTTATGATCACATATGAGATGTCGAAACGTGAAATACAATTTTCCTACGAGTCTTTTGGAAATTAGATTTAACTTGTAATTATTTATGGTCTTAGCTACACGATAATATATTTTTTTCTTATTTTGTTAGTAAATTTTGTATTAAATTTTGAAAATAAATTCAAAAGTTCATCGCTGTGCTTGACCATATGCACTCGCAAATAGCGCGACAGATTTAAAGGTTACCTACATAACAAAAAAAGGTTAAAAACGATCACTGGTTTGTAATGCTGCAGTTCAGACTGGGTATAAACCGCTGCTGACCGATGGTCAAGCCTATTCATCGTCTATAATCGTTTTCCAGCTACATGAAAAATACTTCTAAGACAATGATTGTCGAATGGTGACTTTTTTGACCTTCATTGACAAGAGATCATTTTCGAGCGCGTGCGTTATGACGCAGATGGAGAAAATGTAGAATATGGAAGCGAACTTTTCTGGCGGAGGCTTTCTCGCCGACTTGATCGAAGATAAATGACCGCGAGAGCATCACAAAACACAATAACCCTAACCATAAAAACATGTTTCACATGGTCAGTATCGCAGCAAGGGGCGTGATGGTCCTTGGGTCGACAGCATTTGGCCGGAGACCTTTGACCAGTGGACGAAAGACCTATGACCTCAGCTGGTCACCGAACAAAAACTTATCTTGACCATGGATTATTTATTTTGATTAGTAAGAGAGTTCATGTGATTGGGATTGAGAAGGTTACAAAGTTCGTAGAGATATGACGGTGAATGAATAGCTGAATTTGCAATGATGACGGCTAAATTAGAGAGCATATGACATCGGTAGAATAGTTCAGTGCTCCTTGGTAACACCGAAAAGTCCCTTAACCTTGTACACAAAAAGTGTCGTTGTTGCATAGTTTTCTTTTTGCATTATACGGCAGTCATCTCTCTAAATGAAAAGAAAAAAGAAAATCTGAATGACCTGGTTAACAGGCTTATGAAGATTTGCCATGTTCTAGATACTGAAATAAAAGACTGTTGTATCATTGATCATTCTTGTTCATCATAGTACATGTAAATTTGCGCATAGTTTTGGACTAATTTTTATAAACTCGGGAACAATATTCAGCGTTAAAACGAGACCTGGACGAATGTGCCTCCATATGGAAATGGTTCATATTCAAGAGGTTTGGAATTACTCTTGGAATGTCTCCTTAAAATATTTTATTTGACTTCACGTTC